AAACCTGGGGGGCAGAGCCTGACACTTGTGGCTGGCACCATCGACCAGAGGGCGGTGACAGGTGAGGTCATGAAGGTGGTAATGTGAGCAGGATTACCACAGGTGCTCAGGGCTCACCTCACACACACACGCCAAGGTCACCCCTCACTCATCACCACTCATAACGCACGCACCACACTCACTATACTTATACACCTCCTCCTGCAATGTGTGTGTGTGTGCAATTATGCGCTGGCATGAATGTATAACAAAATATTAGGGCATTGGTTGGGATTGAACTCTCATTTCTGGCCTCCTAGACACGCTCTGCCCACTCATGCTCTCATGAGTGGGCAATATATATATATTGAACTACTCACAGTCAGTAGTTCACATTTCATTAGCATATATCAGCATATGTTAATGATGCAACAATAAGTATGTAAGCAGTGTGTACAAGACAACTATGATGGCAGGAACACAGCACAAGCAAGGATGGTACACACCTCCGGGAGCGGGTCGGCCGAGCGGACAGCACACTGGACTTGTGATCCTGTGGTCCCGGGTTCGACCCCGGGCGCCAGAGAGAAACAATGGGCAGAGTTTCTTTCACCCTATGCCCCTGTTACCTAGCAGTAAAATAGGTACCTGGGTGTTAGTCAGCTGTCACGGGCTGCTTCCGGGGGGTGGAGGCCTAGTCGAGGACCGGGCCGCGGGAACAATAAAAAGCCCCGAAATCATCTCAAGATAACGTCAAGATAATCAAGATAACGCCAAGATAATCAAGATAACCTGTCTACATATATTTTTCCTATACATAAACTGTGTATCGTTGTGACTTTTATTACATTAAGAGGAACATGGATTTAAAAAAAATAGCTTTTACCGGTTATTTTTTTTTAAAGAAATCAGATTAGAAATTTTTATTAAAAATTTAAGTACCTGGGACGTCTTTGTCTTGAATGTGCTCCAGTGTTTCTGGGGAGGCTTAAGATGCTTTTATTATTACTGAATACATATAACTGAAACGTAAATGTTTAATTACTTATGTTAGAAGTAATACATATGCATACACTCCCTCCCTCCCCCCTCACATGCACACTAACACACACTCCTTCCCCCTTATACACCCCCCCCCCACAACACACACACACACCAACACACACACACCAACACAGGATGTAACAGTACAGACAGACATGACCGTGGGAACAGACCCCCTAGAAGTCAACAGGAGTCTTGACCTCTTTCCTTCAGGAGCACGACTTGGCCCGCGTCCCTGGCTAATACGCGCCCACCACAACCACCACTACGCCCACCACAACTACCACTACGCCCACCACAACCACCACCACAACCACCACTACGCCCACCACCACCACCACTACGCCCACCACAACCACCACTACGCCCACCACAACCACCACAACCACCACTACGCCCACCACAACCACCACTACGCCCACCACAACCACCACTACGCCCACCACAACCACCACCACAACCACCACCTTACCTTGTGGTGATTGCGAGGATCACCGTCCCCGCGGCTGTTGGACGCGACTGCTCGCAGCCTCACGTATGAATCACAGCCTGGAGGATCAGGTACCCTTTGGAGGTCCAACAGTCTAGTTGACCAGCAGACCACAAACCTGGAGGCCTGGGCAGAGACCGGGCCGCGAGGACGTTGGTGCTCGGAACCACCGCAAAGTAACCGCAAAGTAACCGCAAGAGTAGTGAGGAAAATGTAATAGACTAGAAGAGCAGGTGGCAGCAGATATCAGCCTCTGCCTCACCCTAAATGTATGGCAGCAGGAAAGCCAGGAACCAGCAGCTAAAACTCCATTGATCATAAAGACATTGTTGACTACACACACCTACGTATATATATATGTGTGTGTGTGTGTGTGTGTTTGTGTGTGTGTGTGTGTGTGTGTGTGTGTGTGTGTGTGTGTGTGTGTGTGTGTGTGTGTGTGTGTGTGTGTGTGTGTGTGTGTGTGTGTGTACAGAATAATAGCCTCAGACACGGCTGTGGGAGACGTAGGTTGTGTGTGAGGAGCAACAGGAGGACGAGGTAAAGTGACCTTGGGGAGTGACCTCCTGTTGTTTACAGTCACAGAACAGGTCTATCACCTGTTTATGGGGGAGGACGGTCAGGGTAAGAGTAGGTTGTTGGCTGTTGTGGAGGGTTGTGGAGGGTTGTTGGCTGTTGTGGAGGGTTGTTGGCTGTTGTGGAGGGTTGTTGGCTGTTGTGGAGGGCTGTTGGCTGTTGTGGAGGGCTGTTGTGGGTTGTGGAGGACTGTTGTGGGTTGTGGAGGGCTGTTGTGGGTTGTGGAGGGCTGTTGTGGGTTGTGGAGGGCTGTTGTGGGTTGTGGAGGGCTGTTGTGGGTTGTGGAGGGCTGTTGTGGGTTGTGGAGGGCTGTTGTGGGTTGTGGAGGGCTGTTGTGGGTTGTGGAGGGCTGTTGTGGGTTGTGGAGGGCTGTTGTGGGTTGTGGAGGGCTGTTGTGGGTTGTGGAGGGTTGTGGAGGGCTGTTGTGGGTTGTGGAGGGCTGTTGTGGGTTGTGGAGGGCTGTTGTGGGTTGTGGAGGGCTGTTGTGGGTTGTGGAGGGCTGTTGTGGGTTGTGGAGGGCTGTTGTGGGTTGTGGAGGGTTGTGGAGGGCTGTTGTGGGTTGTGGAGGGCTGTTGTGGGTTGTGGAGGGCTGTTGTGGGTTGTGGAGGGCTGTTGTGGGTTGTGGAGGGCTGTTGTGGGTTGTGGAGGGTTGTGGAGGGCTGTTGTGGGTTGTGGAGGGTTGTGGAGGGCTGTTGTGGGTTGTGGAGGGTTGTGGAGGGCTGTTGTGGGTTGTGGAGGGCTGTTGTGGGTTGTGGAGGGCTGTTGTGGGTTGTGGAGGGCTGTTGTGGGTTGTGGAGGGCTGTTGTGGGTTGTGGAGGGCTGTTGTGGGTTGTGGAGGGTTGTGGAGGGCTGTTGTGGGTTGTGGAGGGCTGTTGTGGGTTGTGGAGGGCTGTTGTGGGTTGTGGAGGGTTGTTGTGGGTTGTGGAGGGTTGTGGAGGGCTGTTGTGGGTTGTGGAGGGTTGTGGAGGGCTGTTGTGGGTTGTGGAGGGCTGTTGTGGGTTGTGGAGGGCTGTTGTGGGTTGTGGAGGGTTGTTGTGGGTTGTGGAGGGTTGTGGAGGGCTGTTGTGGGTTGTGGAGGGTTGTGGAGGGTTGTGGAGGGTTGTTGTGGGTTGTGGAGGGTTGTGGAGGGCTGTTGTGGGTTGTGGAGGGTTGTGGAGGGCTGTTGTGGGTTGTGGAGGGTTGTGGAGGGCTGTTGTGGGTTGTGGAGGGTTGTGGAGGGCTGTTGTGGGTTGTGGAGGGTTGTGGAGGGCTGTTGTGGGTTGTGGAGGGTTGTGGAGGGCTGTTGTGGGTTGTGGAGGGTTGTGGAGGGCTGTTGTGGGTTGTGGAGGGTTGTGGAGGGCTGTTGTGGGTTGTGGAGGACTGTTGGCTGTTGTGGAGGGTTGTGGAGGGGGTTACTACCATCACCCGCCACACTCGTCAAATTATAACTCAACACGCACAACAAAGTAATAATCAGTGATAGGTAGGTAACCGTCACGCCGCCGCCGCCGCCACCATCCAAGACTCACTCTCCTTCACAATCAACCTCGTCATTAATATCAACAATATAATGATAAGGCACACGAGATACTAAAGTCCAATTCCCATGAAAATGTCAAGGATACTCGACTTTCCAGGCACGTATCGATGTGACGAGGTCGTCTACTGGAACAAGACCTCACAAGTAATGTTGTATGATACGCTACTTATCAACATAATAATTAATATAATTATAATTACTATTATGAGCAGCAGCTGCTCTAATAATGTTCTTTGTTTCTCTTTTCGAACACAGTGAGAAGTCTTAATTATGCCCCTAATGTGTCGAGGGAGTGTTGAACAGTCTTGGGTCTTCAAGATGATAAGAGTTCTTTCTCAGCGTACCTGTTGCACCTATGCTTTTGAACGGGACTAATTTGAACATCCCGCCATGCCTCCTGGTCTCACGTGGCGTAATTACAGCATGCAGATTAGGAACCAGCCCCCTCTTAATATTTTCAGGGTGTAAATTATTATGTATCTCTCCCGCCTGCGCTCTAGGGAATACACATTTAAAAATATTAATCACCCCCCAATAATTTGGATGTTTTATCGAGCTGATTCTAGCAGACGGAATTCAACGTGGAATGATGCCAGGCTACGGTAAATGGAGTAGGTAAAAACAGGTCACATTCGCCTTATACATTATATGGAAATATGCTAAAATAAACTGTCAAATATCTCTGGCCGGTACAAGGTAATATACTGTCACTAGTGGACCAGACCCTATTTCAAGCCTTATCTAAGCTTGCCAATTTTAGAGTCAGTTTAGAGTCAGCCCGAAATTAGAATATGTCATGTCCGGTGTCATTCTTCCCCTATTGTCATACCATGCACGGCTGCCCGTTTTCTATGTGTGGTGTCCACTTTCCAAGAAGCATATCAATAAATGAGAACATTTGTAAAGAAGTATTACCATGAGGCTTCCCGCCCAAAAAGGCAAGAGCTACTAGGTGAGGCTAGATACTTTCAACCTGAAAACGCTAGTAAATAGGACAAAAATTTATAATATGATCACATACAAAACAGTGACAGGAATCGACAAAGTTAACAAGGAGCCATTTTATGAAACCTGCAACTTCAGGAACAAGAGTCCATGGAACACAAATGTAGGAAAAATAGCTTTTTTTGAGCACAAGGCTATAGACAGAGGGAATAAAATGCATGAGAAGTTTGTGCATGCCAAAACCACCACAAAGCATCACATGACTTATATTAACTTTAAAAAAGTTGTATAATACCTGTATAAGTTATATAAATTTTTAATAACGAGTGGAATGATTATAAGTCATATTATAGGCCTATATAATTATATAAGACTATAATATAACGTTTCCTTCCCCTCGTGTAACTAGACTGAGAGAGTGTGAGAGACACGGGCGAGGACACTCACCTCTGGGCATGCCGCAGGGCGCCTGGGTCCTGAAGGAGTCGAGGAAGTCGAGGTTATACTTGCGGGCGGGCGGGAAAGTTAGAGCCACGTGGGCCTCACACACCCCGGCCACCGCCGCCACCACCACCACCACCAGCCTCGCTAACATCTCCCTCCTCATCTCTTACCGCATTACACTGAAAAAATCAAATGGGGGAAAAATCATGATTAGAAACAGGAAAGTTGATAATGTTCCAACTCTTCTCTACATCACTTTGCATTTGTGAGGATTAAAATCTATCAAGTAGGGGAGCTGGTAATGTAATTGCCGTCACAAATTACATAATTACATATTACAACCAACAGCATTTATGCACCCCACATATTCCGATAACTCATATTCCCCTCCCCCAGCAACTCCCCCACAAGCTTCTGCGTCACCCCTGCTCTCCCCCCTGAAAAAAAATCCAGCTACCCCCTTGTCCCCCCCTCCCCCACGCACATGCACTGGTGTCATTCTCCATTTATTGTCATACCATGCACGGCTCCCCGTTTTCTATGACAACACAAACAGTCGTCTGAGCATTACTGGAGTTACTCAAGAGGTTACACAGGGGTCACGGAGATTACTAAAGAGATCAGCCATCGGAGTCACATAACCATATGGAGCATGACTCAGCTTCCCCCCCCCCCTCCTCCCCCGCGTAATTCATACTCACCACACAGTACCACTGAGATCATTAGCATCATTATTTATCATTAAACCATAACTACGCCACCAACTCAACCTCTAACAGCCCAATCACAGCCGCCAATTACCCAACAGCCAAACCGCTGCAGTGACGCAGCACATTTTTGAATGGCTTCGAATAACGGTCACTGAAAGCACGTGGAGCTCCAATTCAATTTCACAACATGTTTATGCAAATATATATAATTGGTGGTCGTCGTCCCTTCAATTTCTAGTGTGTGGTCTGGTCAACATATATAATTGGTGTCTAGCGTCAGGGATTTAACGACTCGTTCCATGTGGGATTTGATATAAATAAGCAAATAAAGTGCACAGAGGTATGAAATAAATCATGAAAAAGAAATCCTAGATAAGTTGAAACTATAATGTTATAGTTTCACACAATAATGTTCATCAAGTATTTCAAGTTTCATTTTCCTTCATGGTCATTCGTTTTCATACACACACACAAAATATAGTATATATATATATATATATATATATATATATATATATATATATATATATATATATATATATATATATATATAAATAAATATATATATATATATATAAATAAATATATATATATAAATATATATATATATATATATATATATATATATATATATATATATATATATATATATATATATATATATATATATATATATGTCGTACCTAGTAGCCAGAACGCACTTCTCAGCCTACTATGCAAGGCCCGATTTGCCTAATAAGCCACGTTTTCATGAATTAATGTTTTTTCGACAACCTAACCAAACCAAACTTTTTCGGCTACCAAACCTAACCTAACCTATAAAGATAGGTTAGGTTAGGTAACCTAACCTAACCTATAAGGTTAGGTAACCTATAAGGTTAGGTAACCTAACCTAAACCTAACCTAACCTATAAAGATAGGTTAGGTTAGGTTAAGTAGGGTTGGTTAGGTTCGGTCATATATCTACGTTAATTTTAACTCCAATAAAAAAAATTGACCTCATACATAATGAAATGGGTAGCTTTATCATTTCATAAGAAAAAAAATTAGAGAAAATATATTAATTCAGGAAAACTTGGCTTATTAGGCAAATCGGGCCTTGCATAGTAGGCTGAGAAGTGCGTTCTGGCTACTAGGTACGACATATATATATATATATATATATATATATATATATATATATATATATATATATATATATATATATATATATATATATATATATATATATATATATATCTTATATATTTTATCTTATATATATATATATATATATATATATATATATATATATATATATATATATATATATATATATATATATATATATATATATATATATAAGACAAAAAGGAACACGATTAAATTCGAGCATCTTATTTAATTAAAACAGTTGCTTTTCAATTAAATCCATAACGTTTCGAGTACTTATTAGTATTTATCATCAGATCTAAGATACAGAAAAATCGAATTAAAATTAACAAAGAGCTTATTCTGAACAAATGATTACACAATAAGACACGAAAATGACACCAATTATTACAAAGAAACACAAGAAAAGGAACAATACAAATGTCAACTTACGTAATGAACTGTACAAACATACAACTCGGTAGCCTAACAGCCTAACATTAGGCATTATTGCGTAACAGCTGTCTGAGATATAAAGGTTCCATAATTCGCAGGTAAGACTGACCATTCACGCAAGAGTCTAAAATTTTAAAGTCGGACTCCTGTACACAATGACTACTTTCAGATTTAGAGTATATTGGTCCATCATCCCGGACCTAGGTTCGAACCCTCATCACAGCCCTTGTGGATTTGTTCACTCCTCTCAAGAATCACATTCACTTTTTATGAGATGCAATTGTATACTATGTTGTTAATCCGCGCATATTTCATTGGCGTTATTATATTCCTTAATTTGTTTTTAGTTTCCCTTGATGTGTGTTTTTTGGTGCACTCTTTGAAGTAGGATATTCCTTGTAATTATCTATTTAATTCTGATACTGAATATAACAATTGTGTGTCTATTATTTTATAATATTTGGGTTTCTTTATAATGTGTGGCATGGGGGGGTAATTCCATAATGATTTATTTAATTCGGTTTTGAATAGAATCTTTGAATCTTTAGGATCTTAATGGTGATTTTTATTTAGTCCTTATTGTTAATTGTGAATGTTACGAAACCTTACTTTGTTTGATCATTACATAAGTTAATATTTTTTTTGTGTGTGTGTGTGTTCTTTTTAAATAGTCATTTTCGTCTATTATATCTAGCTGTAGTGACTCGAGATAAACTTTATTATGCGATTATATCTTTGTTGTGGTGTCTATCTTGTAAATTATTTATTTATATATATATACAAGAAGGTACATTGGGATTGTGAGGATACATAATATGGTAATTACAATCTTGTAAAGCCACTAGTACGCGCAGCGTTTCGGGCAGAGCTAATAATTAAATAACTGTGTCGGGTTGACAACGTTCATCTCAGTAAACTGTTGGCTTTTATTTGACTTTCACTCAGTCTATTAAAGTGGTATCTGCTGGAGGGCAGGAGTGCCAATGAGTGCCAGTCACTGAATGGGAGGAAAGTCTACACCACTTTTTTTCCATTTGTTTTTCCTTTCCCGCCATTAGACCCTTGAAGCCTGCTAGTATGAGGTACCTGGAGCCTTCTCTTGAGATGATTTCGGGGCTTAGTGTCCCCGCGGCCCGGTCCTCGACAAGGCCTCCACCCCCCCCCCCAAGAAGCAGCCCGTGACAGCTGACTAACACCCGGGTACCTATTTTACTGCTAGGTAACAGGGGCATAGGGTGAAAGAAACTCTGCCCATTGTTTCTCGCCGGCGCCCGTAATTGAACCCGGGACCACAGGATCACAAGTCCAGCATGCTGTCCGCTCGGCCGACCGGCTCCCCCGGGGGGAGGGGTTGCAACATTCTGCCATGAGGCTACTGTCATTATTTCCATTACAAGATATAATCTCTTTTGCTAAAACTTTACAAGAAGAGTTTTAGGTTTCAAGTTATCGTGATGAGGCTTTTGTTTCATATTCTATTTGCAGCATTGTGCACATGCTGCAAATAGAATTCTATTGAAAGGTAACTTGCAACAATGATCATTATCACCATCACTTGAACCACCTTGTGATTACCTTGTTATGCAGAGCAATTATAATTACATGATACCCAACGGAGTGTAGAAGAGCTAAATAATTACTGTTGTATATATAAATTGATATCACGTTAACTGTGCGAGATCACGCAATGAACTGGACCAGAGGACTTAATCACACACACGCACGCACACACGCATGCTCGCACGCAAGCTCACACTCCACATACAGTTTCAATTGTAGATATGACAAGAGCCCCAATAGTCTCAGGAATTTGTACACCAGTTAATTGACAGTGGAGCAGCGGGACCAAAGAGCTGAAGCTCAACCTCCGCAAGCACAATTAATGGAATACACACGTACACGCTTCACCGTCAGTCCTGGCAGCATTATGAATATACACCCGAGCGGCTACTGTGAGAGAAATACACTGCATGTATTATTTTGTGGTATAATTTATGCAGGGAAGACGACACGCTATGAACCTAACCTAGTTCCCTTCCTCTAGTGCTAGTATACATGGGTACACACCAACACTGATCCCTGAGTGATACTTGTTATTATCTCTCTCACTCTGTCTCTGTCTGTCTCCCACTCTCTCTCTCTCTCTCTCTCTCTCTCTCTCTCTCTCTCTCTCTCTCTCTCTCTCCCACTCTCTCTCTCTCTCTCCCACTCTCTCTCTCTCTCTCTCTCCCACTCTCTCTCTCTCTCTCCCTCTCTCCCACTCTCTCTCTCTCCCTCTCTCCCTCTCTCTCTCTCTCTCTCTCTCTCTCTCCCACTCTCTCTCTCCCACTCTCTCTCTCCCTCACTCTCTCTCTCTCCCTCTCCCTCGTACTCATTTATTACAAATACCGTCTATAGCCCTTACATTCTTTAATTACTATTACCTCCATTCTTTAATTACACTCCCTCCCCCCCCCCCCCCTCTCCCCTCCCCCTACTTCACCACCTCCCTGGTCATTATGTGCTTTACTCCCCTCGTAATCATTACTGGTTATCGCCCGGGGTCATCATCAGCAACACTCTTCAACACTTACCAGTGATCAAAGGTAGACGTACGACGCCCCCGGGGGGGGGGGAAGCTTGGAGAACCCTGCAGGTATAGCTTACCAGGGGACGGCAACCCCCAGACAATCTGGGGCAACAACAGGAGGGTATAACAACAATAGTGGCTAACAGGACAAAGTTTCAGCCCCGCTCCTGTGCCAGGTAAGTCCATTACGGGCTCACCATAGCCCGTGCTACTTGGAACTTTTAGTTCCCAGTAGCTGAATCTTAAACAACAACAACAGTGGCTAACAACAGGCAGAGCAACGGGTACAACGGGGACCAACACACAGGTGCGA